TGACTCAGCGTTTTATCCTTCCGAGGTCGTAAAATGAGGACCCAGATTGTTGGGGACAATATGCTGACCCTGTAAACCACTTAGAGAATGCTGTAAAGCACTGAGAAGCGGTATATAAATCTACATGATATTCCTATTGCTATTTCCATTCATAAAAACTAGAAACAGGCTGACCTTTTGTCAATAAAATTCGGTTATTTTATGGTTGAATATTGGTGATAAGCTATTCAGGTCCTGGAAATTTATGCAGCCTGCATGTGGTATGTTGCCTATTTCTGCCTTAGGGCCTTGCTGGGTGTTTCTGCACTCAAAGCTTCTTCTAGGGCCATTTGATGGTCATCCAGATCAGAACAGCTAAGCAACTATAAGTTCCATAACACATGGTATTCTTCCATAACTATCTGAGGGCAAAAGCAGAATTTCATATAATTTTGATTAAACTTAAGATGAGCCTTATACCATTCACTCATATTAGTTCATGTAAATTTGGAATCTTTTGCATTGTTTTCTGTTCTGCCATTTATCCATTAGTGAAGCATGACAGAGAACTCTGAGTACATTGCTATTAAATGACTACAAGGTTAATTCTATTGTCCTCCCCTTTTTTTTCTTTGAATTATAACCTATGGCATTTTATTTATTTCAAGTGCATCTGCAACAACAGGCATTCATGAATAGTTTGAAAAATGCTATTGACGTGTCTTGCAGGAAGAGAGGTCTGAGACCATGAACACTGCTTCCTATGTTTCCTATAGCAACCATGGAGCATTATTTTAAACAAAGTTAAATATGCAAACTGGCTTCCTGGGAAAAAGAATGAAGGCAGATTTTAGCCATCGCTTTGCTACCAAACAATGGATTTTACACTGTGGCTGCTCATCTTATTATGTTTTGTAAGAGATGTCTTCCCCATTAGTTTTTATGTTCACATATTCTCTGTGTGATTGTGTATGCATAAAATACACCTATAATAATTAAAATCTAAAATAATTCTAGATTATCATTTCACCTAAAGTATAAGTTCATTAGTAAAGAAAATTTTAAAATGTAACAAGCAAATGGTATAATCAGAGGAGCCTAATAAGGATCTTTGTCGGTATAATCATATTTTTTCTCATCAGCTACTCGTAGTTGGATATAGCAATGTGTGCTTTGTATTAAATTCAATTATCCTAAGCACCTAATATGAGTCCAAGAATGCTGAAGTCTTATAACTATTTTTCTATCTCTTAATTATGTTAAAATTATTCACTCCATGGACTGTCCATTCCCATTTATGATGAACAGAAACTGTCAGAAATCACTGCTCTTTAGGCAACATTGTGGCAGCCACATTTTTCCTGCTGATTTCCCTCATCCCACTTTCTGCCTCTCCTTGTCCATGTTTTCAGTTGTCAGCATTATTACCATCTTCCCCCACTGCTGGAAGATTTCCAATTGGGGGTTAACTAGTCATGTCTTCTCTCTCATCCTGAAAGTCTGCAGACGCCTGGCTGCCGGCTGCCTGCTTGTCATCTTTGAGCAAAAGACATTTAATAAGCACGCCAGGCTCACTGGCTGTTATAGTTTACTTTAAGAAAGGGCTGGCCTTGTCAGGCTGCAGTCTCACATCAGCTTGGCCTTTCAAGGTTATCTGAGCCATTCCTGCCTCCATTTCAAAAGTATGAGCCCTTCCCCACCATTATGGCATCCAGTCTTCGAGGTTTCAAGAACAGTTTGAAGACAATGCGTGAGCATTTTCTCTTCTGCTACGCTCACAGCACTGAGAACAAAGAGCAAAAATCGTTGTCAAGACCTTAGCTGCTGCAAGACAGTAATCTTCTCACTGACCTCTCCCTATGAAAAAGAGGCTGAAGTAAACGCCTTTTGTCTTGCTCACATCCATTTACTTATTTCATACAATGTGCACTGTCTGGCCATTTGCGGAAAAAGATCCCAGGGATTTCTATGAGAGGAAACTGAAAACGGGTCAAACTAACTTTCCCCTGAGAGGCCTGAAAACCAGAAGAAGGAGGGAGGGAGGGAGGGTTGCAAGTGAGAGACACATTCCCCATGAATTCCCCAGAGACGGTATTTCAGAGACAGAGGACTTTACTGCAGTTTCAAATTTACGGTCACCATTGGCTCAGTTTTTGAATGCTGCTGGCACTAGAGGATCACAGAGGTTCAAAGCTGCTTTCAGTCTGGTAGATTCTTTCTGTGGAAGTCTTCTAAGGTCCTGCCCTCTAGGTAGAGCCATGTGGAGAACTTTCTATCCAAATTGCACGTATTGCCTTCTAACTGCAGGCTTTCCTGTCAAGTTTTTGCCAGTGCTAAAAACTGAATCAAAGGTATTTTAGCAAGTGAGGTGACCAAAGTCACATGTTTTCTTTTTAAGTTTTTTTCTGCCTAAAGCACCTTGCCCCAGTCTAGCGCTTCAAGTGTGCTTCACTGGAAGTGTCCATCCTACACAAATTTAAGCGCAGAGAGCTTATATAGAGAGCTCCAGATAAGGAAAACTGATTTACATACTATATCATGCCCACTCCAAGTGATCAACGAGATGGGAAGAATAACCACTTGCCTCTATTCCTTCATATGTAGAAATCCTTGCTTATTTTAAGGATTTACCATTTGATACAAGGCACAAAATCACCCTATTATATTGTCTTTAATAGCAGGTTGACGTGCAAAAAATAGCAGGGAAAAGCAATGCAGTTTATTAGGAGATATGGTTACTCCCATAGAACTGATTTTTATTTTTAAAAAATCCAAATCTATTGTGCTAGAGAATTGCAAAAAAGGCCGTTGGGAATGAAGGCAATGCTCATGAAAAACTAACAAAATACATTGAACCATTCACGTTATATTAGGGCTGCAAAAATCTAAGTGACCTTTAGATGGCAGCAAAGGATTAAAGTCATCTGTACTCTCTGTTGTCACTTAGTGTTTATTTGGTTTTCTGCAGCCTAATATGGTAGGCCTACTATTTACTGCTGATCACAACTGCCAAAGCAAACAAATAAACAACAAATGGTTCAGACACACAAGCTCTGTTTTGAACAATATGCTTGTCATAGACTTAAAGCACAAAGTAGTCTCAAATTTTCCTGTGGTTAATCTGGATGAATGACATGTGTTAGAAGAGTCACAGCTGATATTGCCCTTTAAAACAAACCTGATCCTATAATTCCAGTGAGAAGTATCGGAAAGTACATGAAATCGTTTGCTGAACGGTAAAAAATAAGAGAGAAGTAGCTTTGGTCACAGAAATCTAACATAAAAATAACAAAAAGTAATCTTTAAATTTTTATTTAAATAAAATGAGGGTTAATAAAAGAAAAAAAATTAAATACAGTTCAAATATATACAGTGTGGTATCAAAGTATATACACAATTGACTTTTGAATCAAAATGAAAAGAATAGAGAGTCACCAATACATGTTTCATAATAAATGAAGAAAAAGCAATGGAAAAATATATCAACTCATTTATTATTTTGAATTGTACAATTTCAGAATTCAAGTGATTCCAGGCAAAATGCCAAACACAGTTTGGCATTTAAGAATATTGAAAACAGTCCTTCTTGTAATACAGTAACCCCAAGTTTGTTCTCATAAGACAGTCAGCAAAATTAATAGCAACATATCTATTGCATTTAATGAGATTTGTAGCCACTCATCAATGAACAAACAAGGTTCCCATAACATAATGATCTTGGTGACATCAGGCAGACAAAATGACAATATTCTTTGATCAATAAAGTTGCTTAGCTCTGTTGAAACTGAAATTAGAACTAATGCCTTAAAATAGAAGTGAAAAGTAGGACTTTTATCTCATTTGTGCCTATTCCCTTTCTGTTTTTACAGACTGTATCCCATGGCAATACATATCTTTCTGCACTATTTAACTTGGAAAACTCAGAGTTTTGGCAGTGTTTTTGTTCTCATACTTATAAGCCCAGTTTTGATGTTCAGTGCAATGCAAGCTAGAAGTAATGAATTTTGGGATCACTGTTACGTATATAACTTTTTAAACTCCATGTAACATTTTAACCAATATAAGTATTTGTAAAGTACTGTAACAAATGATCATAAAAATTCCTGAGCTATAGTTTGAATTTTTCTAAAATGAATATATCAGTATTTAAACCAGAAATCCAGAATGAGAAACTCACCATGTTTGAATCGACATTTTCTACTCATTATGGATCAATGAAGAGCTGCAATGATGACAGCTACAGACCAAGAGCATCTGAGTGTCCATACCACACCTGCTTTCTGTGTAGTTATATCTTAATTGGGCATTATATCCCCTGCTCTTTTTGTGATTCATGACTTGTTCAGAATGAACAGGATGTTGAGCTGTTAAACAGAACTAAATTATCAGTTTTGAACCATGCTTACTGATCTAGAAATTTACATCAATGTAGGATTTACTTCCCCAGCCATTCTACTGGGATAAACAAGGAACAAATAAAAAATAGCAATTATTTTTGTTTGCTGTTATATACCTAGAAGTTAAAAGTTTCATGCCATTTCATTATCATGCTCCCTTCCCAGTTGCTGCTCATATATCTGTATAAACTTACTTCTTCTACACAATTATACATATCTGAAAGTTAGGAATTCATTCAAGTGGACTGCTGCTTAGTCACTCAGTGATGCAAAGATTGATTTTTGCACTTATTATTGCTGTTAGTCACTTTTAGATTAGAATGTCTCATTGAGACATTTAATAAGGTAAAATATTTGTGACATTAGTTGTCAAATCACTGATTATTCATAAAACAGGCACATATATATCACCCCTACTTTCATATTTGTACATTCAGAAATAAGCTGAAGGAAGAAGGCCAGGATATTTCCTTCAGAGAAAAAAAAAAACCTTCTCTGACTTTAGTAACCAAGCCATTCTGTTTTACATTATATTTGGGCTTATTACTTTTCTTTCAAACTTCCAATAACATAAAGACCCATCCTGGTGATGGATGGATCAACGGCAGAAGCAAAACTGATTATAATTTTTCAAAAGGTCTTCAGAGCCTGGAAATGCTAGGAATGTTGATGGATGGTTTCTGAAGAACCTTCACTACTGTCCTTGAGCAGGGCTATTTCGGTTGATTCTCCTAGTTCATCAATAGGCATTTCTTCTTCAATAGTGAGGTGAACATCTGGCAAGGAAGATTCACTGCTTCCCTCCACAGAACACAAGGTGCAGGAAAAAGCTGGTACCATGCTGTCTTGTAGCATACTGATCATCATTGGAAACTGGACAGACCTCAGTCCTGATACTGTTGGCAGAGACTTTACAGCTTGTCCCCATTTCCTCTGCTCATCTTTGTAGAGCAGCAGCAAGTTAGATTTTTTTTCTTTCCTCTTGGAGTTCATATAGCCTACCATGATTCCCATTAAAAAGATTCCATAGAAGGTCATGACAATCAGGATATAAAAGTATTCATTGCCACTACGTCCATTCTTTTCAGGCAGGGAAGCAACAGAGCCAGAATTTTCAACAGCCGGCATGGACTGTGTTGTGTTAGGATGATCCATTGCAAACATCAAAGCTTTTGGAAGAAGGCTGGATCCTGGAGAAAGTAAGAAGTCAAGGCATGAATATCAAATAATGATGATAGGAAATTAATCCTAATGCATATGTGAATTTATAGTTATTTGTTGGTTATTGAGATATGCCAAATGATCATCTATGAACATTTGATAAGAGTTCATGGAAATTAGCTTCATAATATACATAATAAACTGTTTTGTACATCACCGAAGCTTATTCTTCCTTTATGTAACCTACTGTCACATTGTCCACTTAGACAACTCTGAGAATCTCAGGAACAAGTCTTTAATACCAGTTGCCTGATCTTCTAAAACTGAAGACAGCAATAATTGAATCCAGGAATATCTGCATGTACAGTATGAGATCTAAGTGCTAGTGAGCCACTACTATAACTTATTATAATGCAAATCATCAGTTTTATGAAAATATGTACAGTACAGCAGCTGATAGACCTACTAGTAGATTGGAAAAGTGTTGCTTAACTTTGTTCCCTGAACAATAATTTCACTACGCCCTGAATGAGCAGGTAATAGGCTTGAATTTGGTTCTCTTCAGTCCAAGTCCAATACTTTAATTATACTACACTGACTCTCCTTTTTCTTTTTCCCATCCTACTCAGCCTTCCCCATTAAATGTATTACGACAAGTTGATGACATTTTACACAGCCTAAGTGCTAATGGAGATTATTGTGATTTTTGGACCATTTAGTTTAAAAACACAGAATTTTGCAAACCAAAATTTCCATTGAAGCAGTATTTCTAGTTATATCCAAAGATTTCTTTACATCAGAATACATAGCAATGAATGATTGAAAAAGCACTTCTGAAATTCAAGGAGAGACAGAGTTGGTTTACAACCAAACCAGTCATTGTAGTGAAGCATCGCATAGTTTACCAACTCTGAAACAATGGAAAATTGTTATTATATTCAGTGCCTTAGAATAATAAAAAAAAAGAAATGTTCAACAACTTACGTGAGCCTGCAAATAATGCTGTGCTTCCCAAAGCCCTAAGGAAACAGTACATCTGCCGGATTCCAGAAGCTCTGAAACTTTCTCGGGCTGCTGCCAGAATTAATAGACTTGCTTGGATGAAATGTTATGCCATGTGACCCAGAGTATATAATAGTTTCATGCTAAAGTCAGCCCACAAACTGAAATGGCCTCACAGTTTTAACTGGTTAAATTCCTGACACATCTGTAAAATGAAGAACAGTGGGATGGCTGAGTCATTCTTTCCTAAACAAAGGCCAATGCTAGAAAGTTTGGACACAAAACTTGGGTCAAGCACTGACACTTTGAAGATGAATTATGTGACTTGGGCTAAACACTGCTTTGTATGCACAGTGGATTGTCATCAGCAGAAAATCCCTTTCATGGCTATGTGTAAGCACTGCTTCCTTCCTTGTACTCTTGCAGATGGCCTTTATAATTTACAGAAAAGTTTGACTGCATTTAAATTAAAGCTATCAAATCTTAAATTTAATCCATCCCTTGGATCAGACAAAAAGGCCCACTGAGACTTGCAGGGTTAGAGTTAGGATGTTTCGGTTTACAATACTAACATAAACCATTTGATTTCATGGGATTTGTTTCTCTAGTAAAAATGGTTAGAATGGGTATCATAAAACAGCATAAAATAGTTTGGAGTTGCAACCTGGACTACATTCCACTTAACTGTGGTTGTAAAATGGAAGATGCTTGAAATAATTATGAAAATTATCATGAAAATAATCAGTAGCATCTTTTATTAGACAAAATGCAGGTGATGTTGCCATGGGAACCAAATCATAAGCAGATCATTTCAATAACCAACACACATTTGTATAGAAAAATATATCACAAGCATATGAAGCAGTGGACAGGGTCTGTGGTAAATTTCTGAGTTATTTGTAAAATATGAACCAAAACCTTTGATTTTCAAATGTTTAATACTATAAAGGATGTACTTCCCACAATTCCATTTTGTTTCTGAAATGAAGAATATTGGAAGGAAGGCAGGGCTGTTATCTAGCTGTTTTAGCCCACTGATGAGGCACAGTTTTTACATTTTCTTACATATTAAAGCTAAGCCAATAACTCACAGTCTTTCTCCTCTGCCTGGAGAAACTGGCTTATCAGGACATAAGAAAGGCATTCACAAGCCAAGCTGGAGCTCTGACAGGCTATGTTGCAGACAGCCAGCTTGTTCAGGGAAAGTGAGGAAAATGCCAAGTTTTGGCTTAGATACAGGAAAATTTTAGAACGTAAGCTCCTAATGAATATTTCAACTTCTGATACTTCAACTACTTTTTAATAAAATTTGATGTGCACAAAACTGGTTTATTCATAAAAGTCTCTCCCCAATTGTTATGTATACGTGCAACTATTTAGTTCAATAGAACTGGATTACTTCAACACAGTTCTAAGCAGAAATAAGGCCAGTGATTGGGATGTAACTGATACCCCCAAATTAGTAAAATCTTCAACAAGTATGCACAAATTTATTTATTTATTTAGTTAGTTAGTTAGTTACTGAACAGCCAATATACCATTGGCTTCATTCAGGTGGTCAGTGATTCAAACATATAAAATCCACACAAGCATAAAATCTATTCCTCCAAAATGAAACCCTGGCATCATAGCATATTCTACATTCTTGTACAATTGATTATATAACTATGTGCCACATCGGCAATATTAAAAGGCGGGAATAAAAGGAGGGAAAAATAGTTTTCAAATCACTCATACTTTCAGTATCCAACCTCAAGAAGGATATAAAACTCAAGTCTTTGGTTGTTTTTTGTTTGTTTTTAAATAAAACAACCAGGAACACATGTTCTAAATTTTATCATCATGGAATACCATCCAACTCAAAATAATTATTAAATAGAAGAATTTTTCTCTCAAGCCTATTCCAAAGCCAACCGCATTGCTCAAGGATTTCTATGTTGATTATATTATTTAAAGCAAATTCGGGAAATCGTAATTTTAAAAAAGTGATGAAAAAGTAGAATTTTTCACTTTAAATTTCAGAGAGTTGGGGCACTGAAAATTTCGATAACCCCTAACTTATTTCTGTTATTTATTGGTTTGTTAATAAATATATATGCGGAAATATATGTGGGGATTGTTCCTCATCATAAAGTCACCATTATTAAATACATTGAATCAGATAGTAAATTGTTGCCTAACTTACAGTAGATAATATCCATAGAGAAAAGCAATATGAAATGGAATTTGATATTGCTGAATAACCAAGAACTGAATTCTTGACTAGTAGGAGGGTGGTTACGATAGGAAAGAAAATCCTAGACTGAAGATTCCTTATACGAACTAAAATGTTTGCCTCAGATTTGGATGGAATTTAGAATACAAGGAAGCACAAATTTAAAATCTGACATACCCTCACTCCCTTGTGGCTTAAAGCGGGTGATGAAACTTTTGGTTATAGCTTCATTCTGGGTACGTCTCTTGACAGTAATCCGATTTATCTTGCCCTGGAATGATTACTACACAATAGCCATATTTATAATACACTCTTATGTGTCTTAAATACTTAAATGAGATTTGTTTAATTAATCCAAATTTCTGAATGTCCCCCCCCTCCTAACATTGAATCCTAAACTAATTTCGCTTTCTGGATTTGTATAACACAGTTTGCTGTAAGGATGTTTGGTAGATTGTTCAATGGGTTTGCCAATGAATGTGAACTGAACATGCAAACTTGTGACATGGACAGGCTTGTCAACTAATTAGAAGCCCACTTTAAAATGTCAGTATTCTGAAAGAAATCATTTTTATCCCTATTTTTAAAAAATTCCAAATAAGATCAGCAAGCAGCTCTTTGCTCTTCCCCATCAAATGAGGAGGAGGAGGAAGAACTGAAGAAGCAGTTGAAATGCTCTGGGAAGGAAGCCAATGGAGCAACCAGAAAACTCCCTCAAGAGTTGAAAAGGCCTATTCTACTTATAGAATAGTGTTTGTAGAAAAGTTCACTCTTTATGAGGAAATGAAAATACACCAAATTTTTCAAGTTACATGACACATTGACCATAGTAACTTATTATTAAGACCACCTCTTCAGAATAGCCTGCGCTATCTTAAATTCTTTACTTACGCTACAATATAATAACAGTGAATTTTTTAGGAACTGGGGGAAGTCTACTGCTTATTGGGATGAAAATGTAAGAAAAAAGAGAGAGACACCCATTTTAAACAAAAATATACCAAGAACAAGCCTCCAAAGGAAACTGAATCATGAATCATTTCAAAAGAATGAGGAAGACTAGAACAATTGAAAAAGACTTTCTTAAGTCAAAGATTTGAATGAGTTAAACATACTGTATGTTACAAAAGGAAGGAAGAAGAGATTAGAAATTTTAGGCATGAAAAATTGGTTAAATAGTCTAAATGAAATAGGGTAAAATAAGTATTAGAATGAAGATTATAAATAAAGATTTAATGAGCAAGAAAAAGTGATATTGTAGAGAAGACCCCCTCAAATACCCTTTCTCATGCAAGCGCTACATTAATCTGAATTTAGTGCAATGGTTCTATGTTCTGGCAATGCAGTTGAACTCCAGGAAGCTGAGCCAGTCAGCAATCATTTCAGAAGAAATATTACAAAGAAAGTTTTGCAATACTTCTGGAATTGAAGGACAGGTGATTTCCCACTGGTAGGATTTGTGATCTCATCCTGGCTTCCAGGATTTCCAGTCTTCACAGAGGTCAAGATGCCATGATGCCTTGCTATCATTACTTGTCCTCTCACCAGTCTGTGTGAGCATAGAAACATCTGTGTTCCATCTTGATTGAGCTTATTGTCACATTGTGGACAATTCACTGGGTTTCCAGTGTCTTATTAGAGAATAAGTAACTTTTTCTTCTCAGTCCATCCAGTAACTTGTAAAATTATTGTGAAATCTAGCTTCCATGCAAAGAAACAGGAAACAGAAAGTAAGACTGAAACACTAAGAAATAAATTATCTTTAGAAATAATTTAGATTATATTATTGTAATTTTAAGACATTTTTCTTTTGGTATTAATAAAAGTGAGGATAATTTATTTTCATTACGTAAGGAAAGTCACCATCTGTGACAGAGTGCTTTCTCTATCTGTGGAGGGACCACAATCATGTGGAAAACTTGAATAGATGGAAGGTAGTATGAGTAGATACAGTATATAGTGCTATTATAGCTACCCCCATTCCTCTGAATATGTATAGATAATCTTTATTTTTAATAAGTACTAAATAAATCTAATCAACCATCCATAGTAAGCTAAGATACAGACTATATAGGTTGCAGTATAACTATCATTTGTTTCTGATTGCTCCCTATTCAAGGTTATCAAGGATAAAAGAATTTTTTGCTTATGCAATATTTTTTTAAAAAAAAATCAGAATGATTCAGTGTAATTCAGATTATCAAATCAATTTTCACTGATTCAGGACACTTTCTATGCATATTTTAATGATCCAGATCAGTTGAATATTTTTTTTAATGAATTCTGATCTGATTAAGTATTTAATTTCTATACCCTGTTAAGAATTAGTAATTTTTCAAAGGACAGTTAAGCTACTGGTTATCATTCTTCCAATTGCATTTTACCTTTTCTAACTGCCATTAAAATTTTCAAAATTAGATTAAATATGCCAAGTCCTTACCATATGAATAGAAACTTAATTCAATGCAAGAAAATTGAGTATGTTTAAATTAAGAGAGTACACAGCCGGTAGTACTGTAGTAAAAGGGGCAAAGGTGGAGGATACATTTAATTGAAGGCACAATGGTTCTGAAAGTATTTAAAGTAGTTCTATGAGAGCCAGTTTGGTGTAGTAGTTAAAGGCACAAGATAAGAAGCCAGGAGACTGTACATTTTAGTCCTACCTTAGGCACAAAGCCAGCTGGGTGATCTTGGGATAGTCACTTTGTCTCAGCCCCAGGAAGGAAGCAATGGCAAACCATTTCTGAAAGACTTTGCCGAGAAAACTTCAGGGACTTGTCCAGGCAGTCTCCAAGAATTGGACATGATTGAATGTAAAA